TCCCCACCCCCAGCAGTAGCAATAATATGCATTATTATTTCAAGCCTACACATAATATTTACCAAGATAGGCCAAATTTGGGGCCAAAAAGCAAATCTCAAGAAATGTACAATGTTCCAAGCCACACAAATTTTGTGCTCTACTTACAGTGGAATTAAATTTAAAATCATGAACAGAAAGATCTCTGGAAAATCCTTCAAATATATGGAAATTTAACATCCCATTTCTAAATAAGCCATGGGCCAAGGAGGAAATCAGATTAGACAATAGTTTGAACTGAATGAAAATAAAAACACAACAAATCAAAATTTATGAGATGTCACCAGAGCATTTAAGGAGAAATATGTAATACTAAGCCTCAATATTAGAAAACAAAAGTCTCAAATTTAAAATGCCACCTCCCACATTAAGAGTAGAAAAAGAAGAGCACGTTAAATCCAAAGTAAGTAGAAGAAAGGATAAATAAATGTCAGAGTGGGAAAAATAGCAAAATAGAAATACAATAGAAAAAAATCAATAAAGTAGAAATGATTTCTTTAAGAAGATCTAAATAAATTAAAGAAGACCTAAGTAAATAAAGGCAAATTCCGTGTTCATGGGTTGAAAGACTCAGTATTATTAAGATGTCAATTCCACACGTTGATCTGTATACAATGTAATCTCATTTGAAGTTCCAGCAGGCTTTTAAAAAATTTGATAACTGAATCTAAAATTCATACAGAAATTCAAAATACCTATAATAGCCAAAACAACATTTGAAAATAAGAGCAAATTTGGAAAGCTGACACTACCTGGCTTCCAGATTGCAATGTGCTCACAGTGTAAATCTGTAGAAACTATAGATTAAAAAAAAATTTTTGATTGAGTGGAATAGAGAGTCCAGAAATACAGCCATACTTTGTGAGCAACTGGTTTTGACCAAGTTTCAAAAGTAACTTGATAGAGAAATAACAGCCTTTCCATTAAATGGCACTGTGACAACTGAACAACCAAACTTAAGAAGAGGACTTGGGTTTGTTTTTCTCAGCTTACTGCAGTGTTGCAAGTGGAGAGAGATTTCCATTACAAAGTAAAAACATTGCTTTTCTTTACTAAGCAAAGAGGTGATGAGAGTGGGAGGTTACGAGGCGGCATTAGGCCACCGAACTGACTCGGGGCTTCGAATCCTTGAGAGACAACTTGTAAGGGCTGTTAGGTTGACACAAATAAAGGAGCAACAGAACAATGACACAAAGTACAGTTTCAGAAGAACCACCTTCCCGAAGGTCTCGTATCAGATGTCACAGGCATGCAGGAAAAATGGGGGGGGTTGGTGGCTCATCACGATTCAAGGAGTTTCCGGACCTGAAAGCGCTTCTGTTGGGGGTTGTCGATACAACCGAGCGTACGTTGTGAGACTGTCCACCCGACCCAGGGCCTTACAGCTCCCTCTCCCTGGAGCGGTCCAGCGAGCCCAGTTCTAGCGTGGGGCCGTGCTCTGCGCTGGAGCAACAGCCTGGACTGCAGGAGGCAGCCCACACTTCAGCCCTCTAGTTCCTGGCAGAAGAAACATTTTGCAGAAATGGCCTCAGACTCCACCCACCCCTAACGTTTGCCAAATTCACTAGCAAATTCAAAAGGAAGCTGCTATTATCCCCATTTTACTAAAGAAACTGGTCTGCCCAGAAAGCACATCTCACATCTCCAGGCTCTGTCTGCCTCTCAGTTTGGACGTAAACCCTACAGCAAACTAACAGTCTCAAAGGTTCCCGCCCCCCCCACCCCCATAAAAGCTGGCTCAGCCACTCCTCCGCAAGGAGCAGAGCACACAGAGCCCACAGGCGTTAAGCCAAGGGACTCGACAACTGAGCGGGTCACTGGGCGGTGCCTCTAAGCTCCCACGCCAGACCCCAGATCCCATGGCCACAGTTTCCAAGGCTACAATGATTCAAAGCCCATAATATAACCAGAAATACTAAAAAATTACACTGGAATAGATAAATAAGTTCATACTGTACAGCACAGGGAAATATATTCAAGATCTTGTAGTAGCTCACGGTGAAAAAGAATATGAAAATGAATATATGTATGTTCATGTATGACTGAAAAATTGTGCCATTCACCAGAAATTGACACAACATTGTAAACTGGCTAGGACTCAAAAAAATTTTTTAATAAAATAAAATACAAATTACCCCATAGCCAACCAAATATGAGAAACAACACCGCAGATTAACAGTTATAAAATAGCAATGACCAGATAAAAGAAAGTTCGTTTCCTTGGGAAACATTCCAATTGTACTGAAAAATTCAATATTGGACAGTTGTGCAATTACACACCGAGAGTGCCATGGCGCTAAAATCTTAAGAAAGGGAGAAAGTGACATGGCAGGTCCCAGTCCTCCTTTATTTCCACCTGGGAAGCTACAAAGTTGTTTAAAAAGAGGGACATCTCTGAGACCCCGTGGGAACAAATATAAACTTTGTGCCCCATAATTAACTGAAACCAGATATTTGTTTTCTCAAGAGGAAGTGGGAGGAGAGAGGAGGAGGGGAAGAGTCGGCGATGGACTCAATGGAGATCATCTTTTATTTGATGAAGGGGACGAGTAGGAGATGGATGTCCTGAATCATTTTATTAGGAACAATGACCTGGGTTTATAGAATGGCTTTCTTCTGAAGATCTAAAGACATCTTCATACCTACAATTTTGTTTCTGTTCACAGTAACTTGAGCCACAAGACACTGTTGGGAAACAAACATCAAATGCAGAAATGCTGCGTAAGGAAAAAGAAAAGGCTCTGGGAGGCCTTACAGAACCACGTGTCCAGAGAAAGGAGCTCCCTGCTCCTGGGGAGAGCAGAGCAGTTGTGCAGGACGAGGGCACTGACCAGCTCTGCCCCTGACGCCCTGCAGACACTCACCAGCCCTCACTGCTCCCTTATTTCCTGCTATTCCAGCAGGGGGAGGTGGGGCAGGTGCAGAAGGACTTCCCATTCCAAGCTAACTGTTTTAATCCTTAAAGGAGGGGGGGGGGAGGCTTTATTTTAGATCAGTTTCAGGTCCACAGCAAAACTGAGGGAAAGGTAGAGATTTCCTGCATGTCCCCTGCCCACACACGCACAGCTTCCCTACCGTCAGCATCCCCAAGCCCCCAGGGTGGTACCTTTGTTACCACCCCTGAAGCTACACTGATCCATCACGATGGTTCACGTTACAGTTCACTCTTGGCGGTGTACGTTATATGGGATTGGCCAAGTGCATAATGACATGTGTTCATCGTGTTGGTATCACACAGAGTATTCTCACTGCCCTAAAAGTCCTCTGGGCTCCACCTAGTCATTGCACCCCACCCTCGACCCCTGGCCTTCCCTTGCTTTTTCTCATCTCTGTGGTTTTGTCTTTTCCAGAATGTCACAGGTTTGGAATCACAGTATGCAACCTTTTCAGACTGCGTTCTTTCACTTAGTAACATGCCTTTAAGGTTCTTTTATGTCTCGTCATGGCTTGATAGTGCATTTCTTTTTAGGACTGAGTAACATTCCATTGTCAGGATGCGTCACAATTTATCCATTCATCTACTGAAGGACATCTTGGTTGCTTCCACGCTGTGGCAGTTACAAACAAAGCTGCTATAAATACCCATGTGCAAATTTTCATGTGGGCATACATTTTCAACTACTTTGGGTAAACACCAAGGATTACAGTTGCTGGATCATATGGTAAAGAGTAGTTTAGTTTTGTAGGAAATGGCCAAATTGTCTTCCATTTTGCATTCCCACCAGCAGGAGCTTAGAAGGCAAGTTCCTGTTACTTTACTCATTTTTTATTAGGCAGGAACCCAACAAATCTAGAATAAACCAGAAGGACAGCCTCTCTTCTGAGCTTCACCAGCTGAGGATCCACCTAGACGGGGCTGTAGGTGTTAGACCTGGTGATGTTTGCAGGAGTGTCTGGGAGAAAGACCCCCAAGCCAGCAGTGGGCGCAGCTGCGTCCCTGCAGAACCCGCAGCCACAGATGACAGGCCCTTCTGTTTCACTTATTTGTTCAAGTGTTGTCGAAAGAGTCAATGCAGCTCAGGATTACAGCTCGGTTGTGACAGCAATCTGGATCCGGGCGA